ATAAAATGTGACCCTCAGAGAACAAGTCAGATGGGCCCCACACTAAGTCGCTGGGATGCCATGCTCCACAGAGACCACAGTGCTCTCCAATGGCAAGGGATGCATCCCCTCTTCTGTCTCATTCAGAGCCAGGACAATTAGTTCTTTTCTCTCATTGTAACCCTTTTCAGCATGTCAACATTCCTTTGGAAGCACCTGGGAAGAACTGACATTCTCTGGCTTTTGGGCCATTCACACGGATCCTCAACCTACCCCCACTTCAAGGAATCCAATGGCAGAGTAGTGCCTTAAGCATACACAAGAGTCAAAGATGCTATGAGGTTCTTCAAATACTGTCAGTGGTAGTAATAGTTCCCTGTTCTAGAACAAGAGTAAGCATTGAAGAAAATGTGAAAATACCACAATTACTATATATTAAACTGAAAATAAACCAGAGGACTTAGCCACGTGGCAGCTGGATTTGTGTAGGTCTTTGCTCGCATAGTTCTTTGAAAACAACTTTTTTCACTCTAGGAGAAAATTCTAAATTTTTGTCCTCCACTACAGACTTTTTCAACACATAAATAAGCCAAAAAGAAGCAGTATAAATAGTAGTAACTAAATTATCATGGTCAGCATTTTCTTTTTATATTTAAAAGAAATATTTAATTAGTTAATTTAAGAATTACTTTAAGTTCAGTTTTTTCAACAAGAACATTAAAAACTTTTAAAAGTGAGGCAAGAAGTCAAATCTAAAATCTTACCGTCCATATGAATCAGCTAAACAAGAGGAACCTAACCCAACCTGATCTTCACATTGACTTTAAGTGCTAATAATAGAAACATGGTCATTCTGGTCTGATTATAAAAAGTCCTACATTAAAGAACAGGAAACCCCAGATTTGTTTCTCTACACTACAACTAAGCTGTATTATGGACAAATCAAGATTACCATCCGTATTTTAATGATGGGGAAAATGCTCATGGCCCACCTTCTTGACAAGAAAGTCAATGGGGAAAATGAGATTGTATGTTTCAATTTTTTTATTTCACAGGGAAAAACTCTAGTTTGCCACAATTATAAGCCTTCCATACCACAGAAGTACATCAGAAATTTGCTTCTTTTAGCCTCATCTACATTTATGTGTACTAGCTATTATGTGTCCTATTTATGTGTACTAGCTATTACGTGTACTAGCTATTACTATTATAGGTACTAGCTATTACTACCAATAAAGAAAGATATACTGGACAGTTTTGTAAACATGTCCAATCAAAGAGTTACCTCAGGTGATTATTAAAAACAGATTCCCAGATACCATTTCAGATCTTCTTATAGAATATACAGGCAGACACCTAGAAGTCTGAACTTTTATAAGGACTCCAGGTAATTTCTATACTCTACAGGTGAAGTTTAGGAAATAATGACATTACAGCAAGTGCAACTCATTCCACCTCAGGGCAATACATTAGCAATCCACTGATTGGGTCCATGTATCACTTCCTCACTCAGTCTACTTCAGCATAAATATGTTAAGTATTTATAGCTAGTATTCCTGAAGGCTCACTATGTGTTGTATGTGGTGCTATGCACACTAGGTATGTTCACTTAATGGTAATAACCTTTTGGTTTGTTGTTTAGCAAATACTAGTTTGGTCACTAGGGAAAATAGAGGCTTTATGTAATTTACCTGAGGTCACACAGTTGGTAAGCGTTGTTGGCTTAAAACCAGACTGCATTAGGCTGCCACCCGCTGCATTGTTCAATTCTAGTATCAAGTGAGAAAAAGTAAACAGATGGCAAGAAGTGAAACAGAAAATTTAGGTCTTGGTTGACCAATAACTAACCTAATGTCAACTCTTTTGCCTTTGTTAAAACTAAAATTAAACAGTAAAAACAATTTTGCATAGGAAAAAAATTTTCCCTGATTGCTTGGGAAAATGCGAACTTCTCTATCTTCAATAATTATGTGATCCTATATCAGACCTGGTGTGAGATCCTTCTGTAAATTAACCCCTGAATAGTCTGCTCAGTGACTGGGTTTTTATCTTGTTGGGAAGGTAGAGGAGGACTCAGGTTAGCCATAAGAACATTTATCTCAAGTCACAAGAATGATCACTAACTTGATACTAATAGCCCAAGTCTCAAAACTATAAACTGAAGAGTGAGCATTAACTCCATTAATATTTTGTTGTGACATACTAAGTATATTCAAATTTGCAGACAGGTTTCCCACAATGGCAATTACATCAAAACTAGGGTACATTAAGTTCTATTTATTACTCACATGTCTAGTTCATATTAAGAAGAAAATTACTTTAATGAGTCAATAAAAGGCTTCATAAGAAAATATGGGGATCTATTGAACAGTGATGACCACATCCTATGACATACAAAAACCTACACATAATTTATAGTTCAATACATACATGTGCTTGCTCTATATATTATATCTTAGAAAACTGTCATACACACATACTGGGAGACATGTAAAAGAAATGTTAATGGTAACATCGTAAAGATACAATAAGAATGGTAAGTAAGGGCCTCCCTGGTGGCCTAGGGGTAAAGTCTCAGTGACACAACCCTGATAGCCCACCTCCAGGCCTGAGTTTGATCTCCAGTCAGGAAGCTAACCCTCATGGCACAGCAGACCTCTCCTGTCTTACCCGCTGCTCCCCTTACCAGAGTATTTCAGTATGCCTGCCTGTTCTGCTTCCCACTCCGTCTCTGGTGAATCTTCTCACCCCCCACCTCTGGCCTATACTCAGTTCTTTTATGCAAAATAAATAAAATCTTACAATAAAGGAATAATTACTTAAAAAAAAGACTTGTAAGTCAATTTACAAGTTATGTTCAATGTCATTATCAATTAATATTAAAACATACTTGTTTACAGATAAATACATAGAAATAACACCAAATACCAAATTCATAATAGCTTTGAAGTAAAGTAGGCAAACAGAACTGAAGCCATGGGGGTTTCACTCTTTCACATATTTTGTCATTCTTTATTTCCTAAGAATGGTGGTAGGTATGTGAGTGATATGTTGTCTATTTGTGTGACCAAAAATTCAAAGACAATCAAAAAAGAATTAAGCACACAAAGGCTGATGATGTTTTAAATAACCAAGCTAAAAATTTGTGTGATTCTGCAAATATAATGCTATCCCCGATGCTGGTGAAGTTAAGAATCCAAACCTTGCACAATTTAGTCAAATAATATGAAATTGCTGGGCTTCTTGTAGACCAAAATGTCAAATATAAATGATTCTACATAGCATGGAGCTGGAAGGGATCATGCTCAGCGAAATAAGCCAGACAGAAAGAAAAAGAAAAATACCGGATGGTCTCACTCATAGCAGGAATCTAGAAAACCAAACTAAGGGACCAGGAAAAAGAATAACTATAATAAAGAAAAAAATCAAAATCAACAAGCAACTATAAACCAGAGACACACTGGGGAGGAGGCAGCGGAAAGAGGTATTGGGGTCCAAATAAGGGGGATGCAATTGTATGGGGAATATAAAAAAAAAATAAATCTTAAAAATAAAATGATTCTACATGGTTTATACAATATAGAATTACTAAAGTTCTGTATATGAAAAGCCAATTCTATATATGGCAGGACTGAGGAAACAGAGAACTCAAACCAACAATGAAGAAAATGAAGATAAATTATCCAGTATAGAGAACAAATTAAATGCTTAAAAATTAGTACTGTACAAAATGTGGTCAAACTACTGTCCTCTGACATAAAATATTGTTACTCAATTCTTTTTAAAGGCCTTATGAGATTCTTATTGAGCAAACCAATTTATACATACAAAAACTGAAGTTCAAAGGACTTATCCAGGGTCAAATAGGCAGTAAGCAGTTAAAACATATTCAAAACTATACCAAGGTCATGTTCCAAGACTAACCACAGCAAATGAATCAGAAACTCAGAAAATAAGAGATTTTAATTTAATTCCAATCAAAGGTTATGAATGGAAGAATTAAGGACAATGATCTATAAAAGTTCTGTCTCCTTTTTATTTCCTATAATTTCAATTAAAAAATTCTAAACTATAACTCATTCTTATTTTGTTATATTGTTTTTTAATTCAAAACTTATTTCCCATAAACACATTTTAAGTAGTGATTAAGTTACTAGATTAGCTCATGGAGTCAATGCAATTTATAATTTAACTAGAAAACTATTATCCTTCAATAACATGAAAATAAGAAAACGCACACTACTTAAGCAGTGTGTCTCTCCACCATCTCTCCCTCTTTTCTTAAACTTAAGTACAGTACTTTTAGGAAAAGGTTTTAATTAGAAAGAAAAAGTTTTGAAAATATATTGAGGAGATTTGGAGGCCCTTTGCAAGGTTTTCAAAGGTAGGAGTAATGAAATTTTTTAGTGAATAAATATCACTCTTAAGAATCATCACAGAACCAAGATAAATAATGCAAGACAAGGAGATGACTTCTCCTAGGATAAACAGAAGCAGTAACTGAAAGGGTTAGAAAAGACAATATGAGAACTACTGAAGAAGAATGAATGCAGGATACTACACACTGAGAGGCAGAAGAAATAGAAGCACTCTAAAGGAACAGTCCCACTGGGAAACTTTCATCAGCTCTCTCCCCAACTGCAAGGTCACTGTGCAGAGTTAAGTGAGGGAAACCACTACGATGTGGGGATTAGATTAGAGTGAGGGAAGTATTAGGTCATTTGTGTAGTTTTTACATAATTAGGCATCTTTAACTCAGTAAATATGTCTACTGAAATCTATCTATGCCTACTATTAACATCTTACGTATTCTCATCGTTTGCTTCCTTTCTAATAAGGAAAGATGAGTGAAATGACATGCTACCTAAATCTTTTCAGTTAAAATGCACCCTGGATAGACACAATCATCTAATGCCAGATGTCTCTGTTGGCCTGCTCTACTCAGCAGGTTCACTACAAGGAAAATGCTGCCAAGTCACATGCACATTTACACCATCAGAGAAGAGGGAGGGGAGACCAACCTGCCTCTGTATTCAGCTCCTCTAGAATCCCGCTGGTCCTCCAGGTAGCTCCTGTGTCCTGGCCTCCTATAGAAATACTGTGCTCTTGAACTACAGCAGCCGCCAATAAATTGTCCACATTTACCACTTCTGGGTCAGAGCTGGTGTCAGACATATCATAATGAGCTACAACTGGAGGTCCATCTAGGGAGGAAAAAAAATGTATACTTGTATCTAACTTGTGGGGTGAAAAATACTTCTGAAACTATGAGACCTCTAAATGCCAGTTGCCCTTTTTATTATTCTATCTGATCTGAAAAGCTGTACTTTATACATATATTTTGTACATGATGTGAAAGTGGAAAAGATAACCCAAGCTTACAAAGATGAGGAACACATGTGGGAAGGAAGAACAGAAGACAAGACTATACTGAACAATGTTACACTGAAACTCCATCACACTCCTAAGGAGCAAAAGATAAAAGGGAAAACTCCCACAGAGAAAGAGAAACTGTCTTTTTAAATGAAAAAAAAAAAAATGTTATTTTTAAAGAGAATGAACATAGTTCTTTCTCATAGTAGCTACTACTGCAAGTTCCTAGTAGATTCAGAGAAGAAAATCAAATATATATGTTCCCACTTTCTAAAGAAATAAGGTAAAACACTAAGAGTTCTACTTGACTGACAACTATTTCCAATAAAGCCCTTTTATAACATCAGGGATGGTATGCAATTTACAACAATCTACAAAAAGACAATACTCACAAAATCCACCTTCAGGATTTTGCTTTGGACATCTTAGGAGAAAGACAACTAGCCCACACTCCAAGGAAATGACATACAATATTATGGTAATTTTAGAGGAAGATGTTAAAGGCCTCACTGGAAAAATAAGACATCCCATCCACCTCCAAATCACCCTAACTAGCTTGAAAAAGGCAGCCCAGTTACCAAGTAATTACACTGCAGCATTTCATGCTAAGAATCACTAAGTATTCATGCTTGTAGAATATACATGCTTTAAAATGCTGATGCTACCCTTTTCTATGTAAGCAAAAAAGCAAAAATAAAGTTTTCATTCAAGTACGAAAAACATCTCTTACTACTACCTCCATTTTAGAATAAAGCAGAAATAAAGGAATTTATTTCTCTCTTCTCCCTCATAGCTATAGATGAAATTGCAGGCAAATCATTTATTTCCATAAAGATTTTTTTAGTATCATCCAACAAATTAACACTAAACACACCTACTGTATGAAACTTTTGACTACAAAGGAATACATATGCCAATGAATCATTAAAAAAACACAATGAAGGATCACTGTAGTAATACGAACATCCATTGTATAAATCGTCACTGAACAAAACATGGAACACACTTGGGGTATTTAGCCCTTAATACTAAGTTCCCAAACCAAAGGTTTATGTAACATCAATTTTTTAAATAAATAAAAAAAATGACCAAACATAAAGCAAATGAGCTATTAAGGGCCACTGTATAGAAAACAGACATGTCACAATATGAAATTCTGACGATAATGAGTTGCAGTTGATTACTTAAAAATAATTTCCAATCCCCCAAAGGGGTCAATCAAGTGCATAGGAGTCAGCAGTGTGGTTTCAATATAAGTTAATAATAGATTTTAGCTCAAATAGCAAAAAGTTGATTCATATTTGAGGGTTTTCTTTTCTAAAGAAGAAAAGAAAGCTGTATCACTTTACAGAGTTCTCGTCAGAGTTCAAAATGATTATTATGGAATCAAGATACCATGTGATGTCCAAATTGGTGCAGAAGATATGAGGGTCAAGTACAATATTGACTATTTGACTAAATGTTCTGTTTTTAAAGGGCTTTACTTTTTAAGTGCTTTAGGTTTGTAAAAAAAAAAAAAATTAGAAATTTACTTAAAATTTATATCACTAATACCATATAGCTTCTTGCCCTCACAACCCACACCACCCACTACTAAATTGAGGCAACAGTCAAGTCAAAATTGTACCATTCCTACATATATAATCATGCAAAAAGTATAAGTGTATATGTACATGCAGAGTGACATCACCTACCCATGGAAATAACTTGTCTGAAAGTCTTCATCAGTAGGAAATACAAGTAAAAACTTGTTATCTGGCTTCATTCTTGTATCTTCCATATTTCCAAACAGCATACCTTATAGCTTAGCTTAAATTTAGTATTCATCATAAACAAAGACAGCAGTGTTTTTATATTTTAATTACACTTAACAGTTAAAATAATTATCACTGTCATTTTTCACTTTCAGTATATTCAAATGATGACAAGTCAATACTATACAAACTTTAATAAAGGAATGGTTGCCTTTCCAACTTTTGTCTTCCAACAAGAAACTATGAATAAGGATCCTGTATTCCAAGGTCAACTTACACCTATCATTGCACCAAACCAAGATAAAATAAGGTAGGTTTAAAGCATTTAGCTTCAGGGCTTGGATTCTGAACCACTAAATGAATATTATTACCTAACTGATGGAACAATTTGTGGTACTCTTTCAAAAGGTGTGTCTTGCCACACAATCGACATAAAAGGTAAGAAATCCTGTAGTGATTTTAGCTGCCTTTTCAAAGAAATAACTCTTAAGGGAAAAAAAAATCAGAATACTGATTTTCAGCTAGAAAACTCATAACATTAATAACAGAAGCAGCTATCTTAATTTTCCAATTTAACTTTATCAGTTCATTACAGGGCGGAATAAACATGGAGATACTGTCCTTCCTAGAATAGTCCTCTATGCTGTTAAAACAATTACATTGTCACTTCAAATAAAAGTACAATTGAAAACATTTCCAACTTAAAACTTAGTCATTAACAAAAGCATATTCCATATTTGTAACATAAAGGTTATCAAACTACACACTCTTCTGTTTTCTAATTCTGATGTCTGTCACAATCTTAAAACATGTATTTATGACAATGAATTTAAAATAGTTTTTCTGTAAACATCAACAGCATCTCTCTATAAAGGTAATTAAACATAATAACTCTTTGGTCTGGTTGATCAAAGTGCTGTTTCTCCTGATTAAAATGAGATTTTTACTACATTTTACATATACAAGACAAGAAAACTTAAAAGTTGAGCAATCCACAAACTATTTTTTATTTAAGAACATCAACTCATCCATTTTATGCCAGAAATAGGTTTGTATCTTCTCACTGACATCCTAGACTATTAACAGATTCTAACTTTTTAAATACCAAATACAGGTTTATCTGTGTCATCACATCCCTGATACAATGATGTTTACCAGTATACAATCTTAACTGTCATTAGATGCTTAATTTTATCAATTAAATTTGAGGCAAATATTTTCCTGTAGATCACATGGAAACAATTTGACTAATAGAAACAAAAAACAAAGCAGAACAAAGTCTACATTTACAATCCCTGATAAATCCCTCTTCAAATTTGACAATCAGAATACAGAATTTTAAAACTATGCAAAGTAACTAAAATTACACAGAGGCCTCTTTCATTTTATGAATGACAAATTTCAGTCCTAGTTAGCTAAAATAAGAGACTACAGTTGTTCTCATTGTTGAGGGAATAAGGAATATATAGGATGAGACTAGAAGCAGGAAGTAAAGATAAATTCTTGGCAGCATACATAAGATAAAGTGCTGCCTACTACTTCTTAGGTGTATGACTCAAGTTTCTTCACAGGGTTATAGTGAAGGTTAAAGACCTAAGACAAAACACAATTGTTGAAATGTTGGTCGCCTGCCCCACCTTTCCATTATAATTAGCACCTGTCTTACTTCATTGTTTGCTTATCTTTGTATGTAAACTCTGCTGTACACAGCCTGCATGCAAGGAGCTTTGAGAAAATATCACTGCATGAGATAACTTATAGATCATATATTAACCCACAGTATATGCTTTGCTGGGATTAATGAGATCATCACAAATACGGCTTGAAGTGAAATCTCACTTGAAGTGAAATGTCAGCCTGGATTCAGGCTGACATTTCACTTCAAGTGAGATTTCACTTCAAGCCGTATTTATATGAAAAGTTTCAAAGCCAAACAGAGGTCCTTTTGGATTATTTCACAGTTAAGATAATCAATCTTGCTTGGTCTCCCAAACTGATGACTAATTAGATTAGGAAAAACAGAATTCCTCTCGTATACAGATACACCAGGAAAAATACTCCTCTTTCCCTCTCTCTATTGCTAAGTCTTAGACCCGAGGAAAGGTGGGCAATGGACTAACACACGGTTTGCCCCTTCTATTCCTGTTTCTATGGCTATAAAATTATATAGTAATGCCCACAGTAAATTCCTTCTCTCTTCCCTACCACATTCTATCTCCCAATACCCCTCACTAGAAGAAAATCTCTCTGCTGTCAGTTACCCAGAGTTAGCAGGCATACACCCAGCACCATTATCTACACCCAGGAGAAAACACTATCAAGAGATAGTGCAAATCAAAAAAAGTTATTCTTTCTCCCTAACCTCCAAAAAAGTTATACCTGAAAAAAAGAGTTCTTAGATATTACTAGCGAAGGGTATGTGTGTGGCGGCCAGGGGAGGAAATAAGGTGTGCAGAATTGACTGGTGTGGAATGAGGGACTGAGGGCAAAGGGCAAACCTCAAGAGTTGCAGAAGTGAATTTGCATTCTGATAGAACTTACCCGAGAAAAACAAATTTTGATTATACAACAAAATATTTACCAAGATTGTATCTGCAAATGAAAAAGTTCTTCAGGAAATAATTGTGTTATTTTTATTACTATCATTCAAAATAAAAAATGGAGAACAATTTGAGTAGAAGCATTCATTTTCAAAGCGTCTCAGAAAGATGATTATATCAACCAAGAAAGAAAAAATAAGTACAAAAAAAAGTGCAATCTCTAAGGAAAAACACCGCTTTAAATACCCAAACTGTGCATGTATTTCCTTCAGAATATCATACACCTATTTAGTAAAAAGAAAAATGTCTAAGACTGGGTTAGATGGAAATGAAGCAATATCACTGAAATTTTGTTTAGAAGTTAAGCAATTTTAAAATAAAACTGAATCAATGCCTAGTTTGTAGTTTTTCTACTATACTCATCTCAATTATTACAAACTTATATTTCTAAAGTTTCCAAGGTAGGCGTAAGATTTTAAGGATTACAGTGGTGATTTTGTCCCTCTAGAAAAGTTATCTCTGATACTGATGAAGAGT